GAAAGTTATGCTTATTAATTTTTTATTCCTCAGGGTATTTTCTTTTCTTTGCTTTGACCAAATCAAGTAAAGAGTTGAGCTTTCGCAGATAAATGACCAAAATTTACTTTTTAATTTTCGAGAACAATTTAGGGTTAAATGGAGTCTTGGATTTGTGGTTTTGGTTGGTGATTTAACAATACTTTACTTTGTTGCATTGTTATCGTTTTCTCTCATGGCTAAAATTAATGATTCATCAATTTCAACTAATTTTTGTAATGTAACCTGAGATTGTATAGTCTTATGTATCATTTGGTACGTGGAATGAAAGGTGAGAATGATAAACTTCTTACCTGTACGGAAATAAATTTTTCTTTTTACTCTTTTTTTGTTAAATATTTGCTACCCTTCATACACAACCCTTCATGTGTTGCTATAAAATTCATCCATGTGTTGCTATAAAATTCATTCATGGTTGGGTTTATGTGGGAATTTGGAGTGACGGTTATTGTATTGCATGTACACGTTGCAATTTTTCTTTGATTCTATTTTTAAAGAAAACTTTTTCCAAATTTTAAAATTTCGAGGGTCACACGCATCACACAAAAACACATACACACACACCCCCTTCCCCCACACACGCAACACTTGCACCTAATAATTTTTTTAAAATTAAAATTTATAGTAACTCATTCATTCTCGCAAATTAATTTGCATGCAAATTTTCTGAATTTCATCTCTTTCATGCATTTTTCAGATTTGGGATTTACCCTATTTTTGGGAACATTTAACATTAAATAAATTAATGATTCAATTAATGTTACGTAGATTCAGGGTTACCAGATATTATTATAGATGTTGTGGAGAGTAAAAACCTTTTTATTTTTTTGGGAGTGGGAGTGGGAGAGGGAAGAGGAAGGGGGAAGAAGGTTTGAACCTTTAATCTCAAGAAAGTAAAACTATCATAAAATAAGGAGTACCATTTAACCAAATGCTCAGTGGTAAGTAAAAACCTTCTTACTTGAGGTAATTTCTACACAATTGTAATTTCGATTTTGTTGATTTGTTGAAATAAAGTTTGATTTAGAAGTAGTTTAAGTCGTTTTGTTGTAGGATTGAAGTTGCCTAGGACTGAAAATTTTTATGAATTGTTTCTAAAAGTTTATCTTAGTATTTATATGGTACAGTTGAAGTGGTTTGTTGTTCATGTAGGAAGAATAATTTTTAGCTGCTTTATATATATATAGAACGGGAATAATCCACATTCATTTACTTGGTCCTTTGTATAGTTAGCACCGATTGATTAGTGGGTGTTGATTAGAATAGGAAACACAAATTTATTGCATTGGTGCAGTTAAACTTGAGGAATGCGCTGTGGAGTTCACAATTTATTTGTTTAATTGGCATTTTATAAATAGTGGATTGTGTAATTAGCATTATATAAATTGTCTACGTAGGTTGATATTTTTTTGGGGTTTTGGTTTAAGGAAAATTATGTCCAAATTTTTAAAAGAACAAAAAAAATATTTTGATTATATTTTGACGTTTTTAAATTCAGCATAACATAATGTCTTTAGGCACGTACATTTCTTCTAATGTCATCGGTTTGTAAATCCATGTAAGTTGATTTTTGAGCAAATATTTTTTATTCTAATTAGGTATGTAGTTTCAAATATATGAATTTTAAATTTATGGGATTTTGATTATTAAAGTTGGATGTTCTCCATCTCTTTATTTTGTTGAACATGTATGCAACGTGTGAGTGTGCTAAGGATGCAATTTAGGTTTTCAACTTAGTGCATGTACATGTTTAGTATTTTATTTCTTTGAGTCCACGATCAATATTTATTTATTTATAATTGCACAGTGCCTTCAGACACGAGTTGTCTCTAATATTTATATAATAAAGTATAGTACAATTCAAATCCTAAAAGATAAACAAAATAATTTTTGTTATTCACGGTCAGATCATTTTATATTTTATTTTAAAGTTAATCTAACGACTAATATTAATTTCTCAAATTTAATAGGGATAATAGGCTTATTAAATGTGTGTTTGAGGTCACTTTTTAAAAATACTTTTAATAAGTACTTAAAAAAAAATAGGATTTGGAATGGTTCTACCACCACCCTTATTGCACCACCCCCACCACCACCTCCTCACCATTACTGCCACCACTATCCCACCACCACCTCACAATTACTGTCACCATTGTCTCACCACCACCACCATTGTGGTCATCCTACCATCACCTTCACCGTTGCCGCCACCTACACCTTCACCGTTGTCGCCACCACCATCGTTGTACCACAACCACCACCACTGCCTCACCATTACCATCACAACCCCGCCACCACCACTGTTACTGCCACCCTACCACTACTGTCTCCGCCTAACTCATACCACCATCACCACTATTGTCGCTGCCGCCACTCCATCACCCCACCATCGCCACCACCAGCGCTATCACCACCCCCACCACCATCACCAATACAACCGTCATCGTTGTCACCCCACCACCATCTCTGCAAAAATCACCACCACCGACACCACCCATCACTCATCATTATTGTCGTCACCCACCACCAATTGCTATCACCATTGTCCACCGCCGCCGCCATTAGTACCAAAACCATTGTCATTTCATTCTTATATTTATTACCATTACCACTATTATCTCACCATCACCACCCACCCCATCCACTACCATAACCCACCATCATCCGTTGCCCACTGCCACCCACCATTTTCGTCGCTCCACCACCACCGTTGCCTATTGCCACTACCCACCACCTCCCACTACGATAACTCATTACCATCTGTTGCCCACCGCCACCCACTACCATAACTCACCACCACCCGTTGCCCACTGTCACCCACTACCATAACTCACCACCACCCATTGTCCACCGCCACCCACCACTGTCATAGTCCCACCACTACCACTACCAACCACCATCTTCGTCGTCTACTACCATCAATATTGCCACCCACTGTTGTCATCACCATTACAGTCATCGCCACCCACCACCATTGTCGCTCACCACCACTACCACCGCTCATTTTCGCTATAACCGGTACTTAAATTCTTTTATCTCTTTTCTATCTTTGTAATTTGATTTTGGATATTAATACAAATATGTTTATTATTAATCATTTTTATTATTCTGTGTCTTCAAACACGGAAAATAACTAGTATGTATATATATATATATAGAAAAAATTTTAATGTTAGTAAAACTCTTAAAATTTAGTAGTTTTTAATTAAATATAACTACTTGGGGTATTTTGAATAATGGAGATAAAAATAAAATTATTTTTAACCAGAGTTTTTGAGTGAACTTAAGCCTAAATAAATCTTAAAAAGTGAACTGGCCCCTAAATTTTCCTTCTTTGAACATAGGGCATAAAACTCACTCTACGTTGGCCTTGTGGTTACAATGTTTCTTCAACTAATCCCCTAAATCACATTATTCCAGATTAGAAGAGAACACTAGGTAATAATTAAAAATTCATATTTTTCACACCAAAAATTGATATATAGGGAATAAAAACCAATTACTTAATCTAGAAACATCATAGAAGTAAAATAGGAGATCCGACACTCAAACTAACAATCAGTGAACTTGATTGCAAACAATGAAATTTTAGAATCGGAAACTCTACTATACGAAAAAAAAATTTATATCGATACTATAGGTTATCTATATAATAAAGTAACTTACAATTCAAATCTTAAAAGATAAATAAAATGACTTTTGTTATTTACAGTTGAGATCGATTTAAATTTTACTTTAAAATTAATCTAACGGCTAATACTGGCACTTTAAATTTAATAAAAAAATAGACTCCTAAAGATGTGTTTGGAGTGATTTTTTAAAAGTAATTCTAGAAATTATTTTTCATAAATATTTTTTAAAAAAAATAGTGTTTGAAACCACCTCACCACTACCTCTACCACCACCACCCCCACCACCCCCACCACCGTCGCCGCCACCACCACCGTTGCCACCACTGCTATCATTGTCGTCGTTGCCGCCACCACCATCTTCGCCACCGCCACCGCCACCATTGCTACCATCACCGCCGCCGCTGCCACCCCCACCCCCACCACCACGACCACGACCACCACCGTCCCCACCGCCACCTTCCCCACCCCCACCATTGTCGCCACCATCGTCACCACCACCACCACCACTACTGCCACCACCACCCTCGCCGCCACTACGGTCAATGACACCCACCACAACCATCACCGTCTCCTACCATCACTATTGTCATCTACCACCTCTCACCCTTACTACAAAACCGATTCTTAAATTCATTTATCTCTTCTCTATATTTGTGATTTGATTTTAGATATAAATACAAATATGTTTATTGTTTACTATTTTTTATTACTTTGTACCTTCAGGCACAGATAATAACTAGTTATTTTATATAATAAAATTATAAATGTTTAAGGGAGGTTATGAGTTTGTTGAAAGACACTCGTAATTGATCATGACAAAATGTGGTATCGATTATATCTTTTAAAATTATAACTTACACTTCAAACAAATTTTAACTTAATCTTAAAAACTTATAATTTTTAATATTGATACCGCAGATGTTACCGTAAAAGTTCCCTTTGTAATCAAGTCAGGCTCTTTAGTCAAGTCAGTCTGCTGACCACTTACGAGGGACATTACATTGCACATTATATTTGTATAGGTTCCAAATGTTATTTGAATTTTAAAAGAACACACCATTTTCTCCACTACACATGTAATCACTTATTACTACTAACAAATTTTGTGTTCCGCTAGTTTTATTTAATGACATCCACCAACACATCCCAAGTTTAAGAAAAAAAAAAAATGAGTGCTGATTCAAGTTTTAATTTCAACACTCAGCCCCTTGTGAAGACGTGCATGATTTTTAAATCTCAATCATTGATTTCAATGTGAGTTTCAGTATTTATTGAAACTCACTACCTATTCAATGAATAAGATTATCAAGTCTAGTTTTTAAATTCATATTACATTACTCTTTCAAGATAGCCAACAAACTGGTCTGAATAACGGCCCTGTCGATCCTTGTCTGCAAATATTGCACTCATTTCTTTTGTTTTGGCCCTATAATGTTTTCCCTCGATATCAACCATTACCAACCTTATTGACTCAACAACCGAGTTCTTTGTGTTGGACCCATCTCGTTCATCTCTTTGTACTTCTACACCCAGCTCCTTGTCTACCAGGACCCTAGCATTCAACCCTTGGTCTGTCAAGAAGGGCAACATGATAAGTGGGTGCCCAAACGTGAGTCCTTCAATGGTTGAACCCCACCACAGTGAGTCAGGAAACTACCCACCGAATCATGACCCAATATCTTAAGTTGAGGAGCCCAAGCCTTGCATACAACTCCCTGACATTTGGTTCGCTGTTCAAACCCATCTGGCAGATCAATCAAATCAGATTCTTTAGAAGCAGGTGGCTTCCTTAGAACCCAAAAAAAGGGCAGACCCGATTGTTCCAACCCAAGAGCCAACTCACAGAATTCTGCTTGACTCAGTGTCACTTCGCTCCCCAATGCCACATATACCACAGACCCTTTGTTTTGGCTATCAAGCCATTCTTTGATAGCGAGCCATGTCTCATTGCTTTCATCTCCGGTGTCTTTTGTAGAGGGTGGCATTAACCCTACTGGAATCACAGGCTTCTGGTGAAGCTCTTTGAGGAGGTTCAACCATTCTAGTTCAAATTCGTTACTTTGCCGTATAAAAACTACGTCGGAGTCGAAAACTACCTTTCCAAATTGATGTGTCTGAAATCCCAGACGCATTCTCTGTCATCACGCCAAAAACATAGAGTTGACCTCGTAGCGCCGACAAGCTACACTTGTAGGAAAGGAAACCCACTTGGGTGGGACAATCAAATCTTCCGGTTTAGTCCGTTCATCGGATCCATTGATCATGGCCTCCGATGATCCTGCGAAGCCCAAGATACATGCATTGAAGATGGAGAAGTGGGCGCATGTGATGCCAAGTTTAGCTGCCACTGGGGGTAACCAATGGGTTGCAAAATCATAAATAACCCAGTCCGCCGCTGAGTTTTGCAAGAACCGAGTCAACTCAGGTTTCAGACCGTCGAAGGCCTTCTTTAGGTAGGGTATAGCTTCCGTACGGACGTCCATGGTGGCCTCTGCATTTTTTGGAAGCTCATCGACGCTTTTTAGTGTGACTTTCACTAGGTTTATGAGAGGTGCGAGGTCCTGAGGTAGTTTAGGAAGGCGATGGATGTTTCTAGGGGTGGCTATGAATGAGACTCTGTGACCCTTTTGGGCTATGACCTTGGAGAGTTCTAAGTATGGGATCATGTGACCGAAGCCAGCGATGGGAACATCACTACGTGTAACTTACCACCGCCGGCCATGGAGGTGGAAGGGAGGGAAGCACAAAAGGCTACAATGTTTTGGTGAATGCCATGCTCTATATATATAGATGAGAAATACTATATAGACAAAAAATATTAATATATTTTGCTGCCTTTTTTCATTCTCATAAATACTAAAACTTACAACTAAATTAATAATAGTAATATTGAGAATCAGCAAACGTTATTAATATTTGTTATTCAAATAAGATTACAGTAGATAAATGCATTAGGTATAGACTATACACAGACATGTCATAGAGGTAGGGCAACGTAAGATACTTTTAGTGCACACAAGAACAAAGTAGCGATAATGACTTAAATAGCTTGCTAGAGTTTCCTGTTTAAGTACAATGAATGAATTACTCGATCCACTTGCTTTGTTCTATTGCATGCATGCTAAATAGAATAAATGGTGCCGTAAGAAAAAAATTTGTTCAATCGTAAACAACTAACATATGATTATATATAATTGTGGATTCAGTGGTGATCTAATCGCCAACTATCTTGCCATTGGACCCAAGGGTCATGAATTCGAACATCATGTACTCCCTTTACATGTAAACATTGTTAAAAAAAAAAAAATTATAATTATATATAGAGCAATGCTATTGAAATCTAATTTACTGATTTAATTCATTATGACATTTGGATTGACTGTGGATTCTATTAAACATTGAAACTTAGTGTTGATATAATGGTTCAATTAAAACTATTTCATTATATCAACAAATTATGTCATGTTAGATTTTTAGGTTCAAATAATATTACTCTTATATATAACCCAAATTTTTATCGCTTTTGATTTGTGTCATGTAAAATTCATGTTTCAACGATCGAGTTTATGTCTATCTATTTATTTAACGGTTTTGGAGTTTCACCTATTACCATCCAAAGTTTAACCTCAATTTGTTACTTGGTGTCAATTTCATAGTAAGTTCACATAACGTGTACACAATTAGCAAACTTAATCACAGCCAATATGGATTGAATCAATGGACAAGGAAATTGGCGTACTGTAGCTGGCGAGACACGACCCCCAAGTACAAGTTGGGTTAATCGTTAAACAGTTGGATAAACACATCAACAACATGGATCTCGTTACTCGTTAACACTTTCTTCATGATGAATCATTTACATTAAAATTATTACTTGTCTGCTTACCATAACATAATAACAATGAATTTATTATTGCAGGAATTGGCTTGTACCAATCTGAACCAGCAATTGTATTAAATAATCAGATTTTTTTTCTAAAGAGTTCAGAGAACCATACATACTACTATTAGGGTTGCCCGAAACATGTTAATTTATCAAAATGTCCCAATCAAAGAGATGATACAGATAAAGTATTTCTTATTTAAGAGACCAACCGTAAGGCATTTTTATATTAATCCCAATCAAGGCAAGATTACACGCAACCTCACTCCATAAACAAACGGGATTGTAATTTGGCTCAGTATGTTCTTGATTGTACACATATTGAAATAGTTTTTTCATTATATCTCACTAGAAACTAGAAAGCTTTGAGCTCGCATTGTCAAGGCATTATGGGGGCTATTATCTTTCTTAATCCTACTTGGAACAGTACCTGGCAAGAAATATGTGTAGATGAACCAATATTTTCATGAATGGTCGCAATTGATTCAGATTAAAAACTTGTTCAAACTCATTCATTCAAGAAAAAAGTCCGAATTCAATTTTAAACTTGATTTCAAAATTGAACAATATACTAAACATTATTTTTTTCACTTGCCAAGGCTTGTAAGCATGTAAATAATGTATACTTTGTAGTAAGTTATGAATGTAAAAAGACCAGCGTAGTTTGGTGATGAACAAGAGCATGAATTTGAGTTTAAACTCAATTAGCGCAACTCAGAGGAGGCTATCTAAAATAAATAGCCAAAAAATATATTTTTGTTACACTTTATATTTTAAAGACCAACTCTTATTAATTCACTCCAATAACACTATCTATTTTAGCTAACTATTTCGACTAACTTTAATTAATTATTAATTATTAATTATTAAAATCTAAAATATTATGTAACATGCCACATCATCACCATATTGATGACATCACATGCTGACGTGTTATGTCACGTCATCAAAATTTTAAAATTTTGATTTTTATTAATAATAGTCATTTCGTCATTTTTACAACAATCACGTCATCAAAATTTTAAAATTTAAATTTTTCAATGATCATATTAATAACAGTCATATTTGTAACAGTCATAAACGATCATAACAGTCATATTTTTCAATATGTATAAATAGGATATTCCCTCTCTCATTGTCATACACCTTAGTTATATCTGAGCAGAGTTCAAAACTGCTCCAATTTATTAATACTCAACATCACATTAGAGATAAAGAAACTCATTCCAAAGTCAAGCTAATCTAGTCGAGCATCACTGGAATATGCATGGAAACTTCTAGGCACTATTTAAGTAAATGTTATTACAGTACTTGCAGCATCATTACTACTACTTTAAAATTGTTTGTCTATTAATAAAAAAAAACCTATATTTTCTTTCTCAAGATTTCCATTTGGCAGCGATGAAAATATTCAGCTTGCAATTGAGGCATGTCACTTGTATCCATCGATATTATTCGTTCTTTCTCTCTTAGTTGTTGCATTTGCATTCTCTCTTTCTCTTACACTAGACGTTCATGTTCTTGAAGATAACATTTTTCAAATATTTCAACTTTCTTCTCATTCATTACCCTTTTATCTTCTTTCATCTCTGCTAACAAATTAACGAGTGCAAAACTTGTTTCATCACCTCCCGGTTCTTTGTTCTTTGATTTTCGTAGTCACGTTTTCTCAACTTTCTTTCCAGGTTGCCTATCTAAGGATCCATAAGACCCATCGTCATCTCCTAAATTACCGAGTCCGTTGTAGAAGGCACGGAGTTGCTAGGAGTTTCATTATGTTTTATTTTTTGCTTCTTTGATTGAAAATCCTCTATTCATTTTGGTTGATACTTCAACTCATTCCAACAATGTTCAAATTGAAAAGGAGATTTATAGAGTTCCTTGTACAAGTTCTCGGCTTCACGAATCTGAAAAATCTTACAACAAAACTCATTATCATGTCATTAAAAGTACACAATTTTATAAGAAAATATTCACTCATACATTGTCTTTATCTGTCAAACCACTTTGATTCAGTTTTTCTATCTGCACAAAGCACCCACAAAATTTGTTGGTGGCTAGCTGCATTACCGACCAACTATTCATCAAAAAATTTTGACTTCAGCTATGACATGTCTTAGGTTTGTATTCATTGAAGAACTCCCAAATCATTTGTCAATATGTCTTTGATTTTCACCCATTTCCTTGCACAGCATCAAAACTAATATTAAGTCATGCGGAGATTATCATAATGTCTTCTTTTACTGTAAAATTGTCACCTCATTTTTTGGTGGTAGATTTTACTTGAGGAGATATTGGTAAAGGTTGACTTATAACCTCATCATCTAAGTTTGTTCCGTCAGTCATGAGATTGGTGAAGTAAGCATCATGTTGGAATGGTTCCATGAGTAATGTCTATAATTCAATATGGCTACCATGGTAGAATTAACAAACTTTTCACAATTCACAATTTAGAATATCACTAAGGCTTCTTTTTACAATTTAGAATATCACGTTTCTTTCACTTTCTATCAACTATAACATTTCACCAAATTCCACAATAATAAAAAAAAAATATATCTTCTTCCATGGGATTTGGGTTCTTAAGTCAGAGAACAAACTCAACAAAGCTTCATACAATACCAAGAATAGTTTTTACAGAGTTGGCTGCTTATAGTTCTCATGCTCAATAACTATGAGAGTCAAATGATGTTAGTTTCAATGGGATTTGGGTTCTTAAAGATTAAAAAACAAATGTGTAGGTTGGGGTAACTTTTAAGCCAACTTACTAGTCGTTAGCAACATTTATGTAGTGTAGTTGTCATATAAACCTCAACCAATGGCAATGCAACTAGATTTCTTTGATCTATTCCATAACTGTAGGACTGCAGAATCCTAAACTCATAAATTAAACCATGACAAAATTTAGTTAATCAAAACGGGCCTCCTTTCAGACAAAGGAATGGGGGTAAAGTTCAGGGGAAAAAACTATTAAAAGATCATTAACACGAACAAGTTCAATATACCACAACAAGCTTCTTGAGATAGAAGGGTTCCAATAAATGTCTGGAGTCCAATAGACATGAAAGGTGAATAAAGAGAACTTGGAGTTAATTACGGGTCTACCGCCTCTAGGAAACATATATACCCTTTTGTTCAAGCCTGGCTTATGTATTGTCATAGAAAACATGTTTCACACTAACACTTTCTGAATGAAATTGTGTTTGACACTCACATTTTCTTTTGAAAGAATGTTTATAACTTAGAGACCTAGTGATAAGAGTAAATTGTAAAAATTCAAAATGATGCCATTAGTCCTTACTCAAAAGCACTAATCTTGCTTTTGATATGTATATGGGGGGAATATAAGCAATAAATTATGGAACCTATTACTATTTAGGCCACACCAATCAATGAAATCAATCACAAAAGCTTCTTACTGCAAATTGGTATTGCACAAAAAGTCATTCCCAATATCAAAACAAACTGAAGAATATTCCAGATTCGAAGCAATGTAAACGTGAGAATACTTAAGAGTTTTTAGTCTCACAAAAGAAATGCAGAAGAGAAACACCAGTATGAAAAGTAGATGTTTTGCCTCTTTATCTCTAAATAAACTAAACAATGCAACTAGATGCAAGGTGGGGTGAAGAGTTTAAGGATTAATCGGTGTCCTCCAACTGAGGGGTTGTTGAAGTGGATGGGCAGCTCAGGGGAATCCAAGCAGAGCTGGGGTGGGTGCAGTGGTAAGGAATCAGTGGGGGAATCTGGTCTTGCAGGTTCTTTTTACCATGGTGAATGCTC